ACATGTCATTCGACCAATTCGAATCTCTGTGCTCGGAGTGTTGGAATGATTCATTATCAGGTCAACATGGAACGATGGTGATTGCCAAAACTTTTGACATGAATGCCGGTCGATATAGGAATGGTTTCGATAAATTTATAGAGCTGTCATGATGTCTGCAAAAAAGATGACAGCAATCATTCATCATAATAAAGTCAACCGAGACGCATCATGACGTTGCTGATGCACTACATAAGAAAAAAAATAAACGATCTAGGAAAATCAATCAGAAAGAAATATTAAGCTTTGGAATTGGGCGAGTCTGAGGATGATGAAGCGCTACGAAAGATATTCCAACCATTGGAAACTTCTTTGAAACAAATTGCCACCACGTCCAAGGTTATAGAAGAAAAAATCGATGGTACGACTCTGTCAAAAATCAAGCGAAGCAATCAGACTTTACCGTTAGAGATGAAGAAGGAGATGAAGCAAGTGAAGACTAAGAAGGAGGAGGTGGAGCAGGATCAGCAGCAGCAATCAGATTTGAATCAAACTGATTTCATACCTCTGGTAGATATAGCTGATAATGTGGGACATGCTGAAGATGATGATGATGATGAATATGATAATTTTAATGATGAAGTTTTTGCGGATAGTCAAAATATCTTATCGGCTGCGATACATGATTACATTGATCAGTATCCTGTGATGGCCCAAAAATATCTGACTGAATACTGGACAGAAGATGAAAATATCGATAGCGTTTATGGTCCCAAATATGATTCAGAAACATCGAAATGGTTCCTCAACGGAGAAGAAATTAATTTCCATCAAAAAACAGGAGATATACTTGTTGGTGGCTATCGATTTCGTGGCACCCCAGGCCTGTATCAATTGTTATTCTATAAGGATCCATCCTTTGCTGAAGATGATAAGGGCCCAAACAAGCACATACTCACACTCACCAAAGCTCATCAGAATTCTCTGGGACGCATGAAGGGTTCCTCTCGATCTGAATACAAAGACATTATTCGTCCAATAATCAGGTCCAATACCAGTGGTTTCGGTTTGAAGTTTGTACGTCAACACAGCCCCTATCGAATATATGTATTGGGATGATCCGAATGAATTGGTGGACAGATTGAAGTTACTCATTGCATCAGAGCAAGCTGGAAACACATCATAAGATAACGAAATCGTCGCCATCTTGAATGAATTAGGAGAGGCAGGCTTGATAACGCATACGTAATACATACGTGACGAATGTGTGACATTTCAAACTTGCTGTCATTAACAAAATGAATCTTGATAAATTCGGACGTGGACCTTTTCCACACGGTGTCGGCTCAGCAATGGTGACTGTCAGATCTGGATTTTCACATACTCCAACTGGTGACATTGACATTGGCCATTTGAAGATGTGTAACGTGCAACCTCCTACCGACGCCACTGATGTAGCAAACAAACATTATGTGGATAGTGCTATTTCAAAAATAAAGTCCAATTTTCAGATAGCTTTCAACAATTATACTGCAAACCACCAAGTGATTTTGGAAGAGAAAATGAGCAAAGTTGAATTCGATGTGCTCATAAACAAATTCAAGAAGGAAATCAATAAACTTGTCAAGGATACTTCCAGCACCAGTGATGATATTAAAAAACATTTGGAGTCTATTGAAATAAACGTGGTGGAAAAATCAGATGAATCATCGCAGGAATTCAGCAAGTTGCAGCAAAGGGCTACGATGAGAATGGATAGTGTTGAACAATTACAGAATACTATCCAATCATCTTTTCAAGTTATTCTTCAGGTTCATTCGGAAGAATTGGAGACGTTGAAAAAACAACTCAAGGACGTTTCAGTAGAGATTACATCTCTGAAAATACCCAAGATGTCATCGAGAGTATAGGACATCATCATATATCTCTCAGGTCGTCAATGAATAACATTCACCTGCTAGGAAAAAATTTCCGAGACGTCGCATCATCATAATAGGCTTGGATGATTTATGGCAAATGGATTTAGCCGAAATGCGACCTTATGCCTCTATTAATAAGGATCACAAGCTGATAATGGTCGTGATTGATTGTTTTTCTAAGTACCTATGGACGCGACCGTTGAAATCAAAAACTGGTGCAGACATTGCTCGAGCATTTGCCGATATTCTATCGCATGCCAACAACAGAGTTCCCAGAAATTTGCAAACTGATCAAGGCACCGAATTCTACAACGGAAAGTTTCGAAGTCTAATGAAAAAGTTCTCCATCAACCATCACCATACGTACACCATAATGGAGGCTGCCATTGCTGAACGTGTTATACGAACATTGAAGGAAAGACTGTACAAATACTTTAGTTTCAATGGTTCATACCGTTGGATTGATGTATTGCCCGAAATAACGAAAAATTATAATAACACGAAACATACGACTATTAGATGCAAACCTAGTGACATCACCAAAATCAACGAACAAGAGATTCTCAAATCCACATACAATCACATCCAAATTACAGGAGTTCTAAAATTCAATGTCGGTGACATTGTGAGAATAAGCAAAGCCGAACATGTAACCGAAAAAAATTTTACACCGAATTGGACTACTGAACTTTTTAAGATCGTCAAAGTTCGTATTACGAAACCTACTACGTATATTTTGGAGGATTTGCGTGGTACACCGATCAAAGATGCCTTTTATCCTGAAGAAGTGCAAAAAAGTAAACAGTTAAATGTTTATCTAGTGGAGAAAATTTTGAGGAAAAAAGGTGAAAAGGTGTTTGTCAAATGGCTGGGATTCGATGATACACACAACAGCTGGATCGATGCCACCAACAAATTATAATGCAAACATATGGAAAACGAGCACAAATCAAGAAATATCTGAGAGGCCTTTCATGAATTCACATTTTCCCAGCGAAAAACCAAAACATACCTTATCACTCTGATGTACTGTACACAGCAACAGCAGTGGGGGAGAGGAGTGTGGTATAAAGAGTGACAACATCCTCTTCATTCAGCGTCAGTTCAGTTTTCGAAATGTCTCATGATAGTGGTTATGAAAGTAGTAGCCGCAGTGTTGAAATTCAGTTCGATGACGACGATGATGATGATAGTAGAAGTAGTGGTGGTGGTGATGATGATGATTACAAGCAAACTCTCGATGACATCGATCGTTCTTTGAATAAGTATGAGGCTGTATCTCAACAGAAATTCGATGTTGAAGAAACATTAGCATGGTATGAAATCAAAGCTCAAAATGAAAAGCCCTTGTTATTGATGGTCTTCCATACGCCCTTTCGATGTGGCCTGATCCCCGCAAGAGAATTCAGCGCCTGTGTGATTCTGTAACAAAGATTTTCACCACGACAAATATCATTCAACACCTACGAATGGGCATCCATAATAGATATATTGGGTGGAGTTGAAAAAACCTCTTTTGGAGATAGCAGCAGCATCAGCAACGACAGCAGCAGCAGCTACCCAGATGATCATGATCCTGTAGTGATAAAGTGCGGACACTTTGTGAAATTATATCATTTTATGGAAAGTGTTGTGAAGCAAGTTTTTATTTCCAAAGATGTCATCGATATGACGCTGAACGAACAGGAAGTTGACAAAATTTTACAAACACACATGCATGTGGTATCTGATCGACTTACCATGTTGAATGCTTTGGATTTCAATGATTAGTATCCTAATATTGCTGAAATTGCCAACACCTGGTTGAATGAAAATAAAACTATTCCAAGTCACACTGAAATAATTGATGGACTTTGTCAAGCATCATCTTCAGACAGCATTCAGGCAAATGCTCTACGTGAATATTTATTTTACTATCATCCTTAAAATTGACCATTTCATAATGTAATTAATATTTGAATTTAATAAAGCACAGAGATCAATAATATGTTCTTGAATTTTCGCATGAAAATCATCAACGCCACGAACAGCAATGAAGGAAAAAAATATATATATATATATGAACAGTATATGCAGTAATGAAAAAGTGATATAATACAAAGTTTTCATGAAAAATTTAGAGGAGTAAAAAAAAGTTGTTTTTCATTTTATCTTGTTCTTTAGGGAGATTATTTCAGAAAGATGGAAATAGCAGCGCAGCAGTCAAGGTTATGAACGAAATTAACAAAAATCAATATCCAAATCGTCATTATTAGATTCGATGAATCTATTGAAATCAGGGTGAACAAATGGATTCACACTTAGGTGTGGAGTGACATGTAGATCCATATAACGTTTATACCTCTCTTTGAGTTCAAATAACAGTTGTCCAAAACCATTTTGGCACCAGAAATCTTTATCACGATATAACATGTGTAGATTTTCTGTTTTGTAATAAAGGTGGAAGTGGTCTCGAAGTATGTGCAGATTTATATTGATTTCATGCATTCTCAACACAAACATCAGAGATTTTGAGCAACTATGGCATGAAACCAAATTCAACTGTTTTATTGTATGGAAGTTTGTCCAAACGCAATAATATGATTCTCTATACTCTTGAGACCAATCAGAGGTGAATAAAATTGCATTCCTCGTATATAACATGTTTTCCATTTCCAATGAAACCAATCTACATGATTCATCATTTTGAACATTCTCAACTTTGTGGTTCAAACGAAAATAACTATAACTTTTTATGATTTCCTTCACTAATGATCTAGGAATCAATTGCAATGCAATGGAATGATTCATAAAACTTGTTATATTTTTGATATTCTCGCAGATTACTTTCATGCTCAGTTCTTCCAATCGCAGAGGAGGAGACATGATCTGGAAAAGACATAACCAATCAGTATTTTCGAGTAGAATCACATGATTTCATCTAAGAACCGAAATGAAAAAAAAAATACTCTTTTGCATCCTGATGGCCCCAGGGCAATGTGTCAAAAGAACCTGGTATTGAATATCGCTTATCGTCATTAGGACTCAGAGCAACTTTCGATTGTTCAATGCTAAAAACATTGTGGGCATATGAACGGATACAGCGTTGGGACGTGTTATCTGTTAAAACTCTTTCAAGCAAGCCAAATAGTCTTCGAAACCAATTTTATTTTTCACAAAATTAGTTTTCACCCCTTTGGACTTTTTTACAACCTTACCTCCTTGTACTTTATTAGTATACATTTTCGAACGTAACCCTACAAAATGAGTTACGATTTTTTCATTGGCCTCATCCTTTAAAAAACCCAATTTTTTTTCATTTGCCTGAGGGATCAAATAATTATTATCCACAACATATTCGGATGTATCAAATCTAGAAATATCGGTCTTTATCATTTCTGCATACACATCATTACACTTTAGTTCATATATAAAACTATCAGTATCCATGTACAGCAATTTGCAGATTTCAATGGTCATTTTTGGAAGCATATAGTCCTAATGGAAGTTGTACATGCATATTCTCGACGAATCCAGAATGGCCATGGCTACATACAGGGGTTTATTGAAGATGACTTCAACTTTCTGCAATTCTATAGCCATCAAGTTTTTCTCGAAAATTGTTCGACCTCACGAGTTTCACTAATCAATTTTGGTAATATAGAGCCTGGTGGTATGCGATGTTCGGCAGCGAATGGAAAGTCTTTATGTTGGTTGTGTAATTCGCGGGGATATTCCATGTCCTCTTGCAACATATACCCCTCGGGAGCGTTGTCTGCGATAGCAATAACATCAAAATTTTCAACGTCATCCACCAAAGAAAAACTTCCGAACGGTGAATATTCAGACATTGCCCATCCATATAGATTATTGACGTCCAAGTACATGAGATATTTTGATGGGTCTTTCGGATCAAAATCAGACATATGTAGATTGTTGGCCTCCACGTACCGGCTGCTGCAAACTGAGATTCCACCTCGTATAGCCTTTTCAATGAACATAATTTTATCAACATTATTCAGTAATTCAAGTTTGCATTTGGTGTACTTCAACATTGCGTCCCAGGTATATCCAGGCATGGTATAGTACCATGCTGGATCTAACCCATAGGACGCAATACATTTCTTCCGAAAATTTTCAAACACATCGGCCAACAATGATACATCCGTCTCTTGCTGAATATGTTCTCGTCTGAAATTTTGATAGCTAACCATACATTTTGAGCATGGGCGTACTGCTCATCGGAAATGTGTTGGTCATTCAATTTATTGTAAGAAGATTCTCTAGGTGGTAGTTTAGTGTCATTCAATTTTTCCAAACAATCGATGAATTAGTAGGGAAAGACGCCTTTCTTGGTGAGAAGGCTAAATGTTTCGTCATCCAAATAACTGAACTCTTTTTTCATGATTTTCGAGTCTTTTCGGTCCATTATTGAAGATAATTTGTCTGGAGATGTTCCCATGAAGCGAAAAGAGTCAATAAATCGAAATTCAATGTCTGTGTCTTCGTCATATAAAGTGAATGAAATGTACTCTTCCATGTTGATTGGGAGTATACTGATGCGACCCTTCTTGCTCAACTGTCTAATCATGAAATGTGAGTCATATCCGTTCAGATTGTGAAACATAATAGGCACTACAAACAATTTTCGAAAATTTACGTTGCATGGGGCTTGATGTGCCAACCACTTGAACGCCCCTGTGGAATGGTCATGGTCAGGTACGATTGTGTCTTTCTCTGTGAATGACTTCTCGCAAATATAACGAACTGAAGCCCCACACTTGTCCCGAGGACAGTCAGTCATCGGCACAATTGTTTCAATTTTTGATTGCACCATTTCAGCTTTTCTGACCATTCCACAGGAAAACCAATCCATACAATCATTCCCCCGATGGCTGCTAAAGAAGGACAGAGAGTCAGCATATGCACATTTCAAATAATACCCTGCGCTGTATGCAACATGTTTTTGGTATTTGACAGTTTTGGATGAAACCATATCATCAATATTTTTCAATTGACATTCAAAGTCGGCATAAATAATGAAAGGAGCAGTCTGTTCGTATGTGAAATTTTTGAATTCTATGTGATCGTATTTTGGAAAAGAGATTTCACATTGATTCAATTGAGAACAAAGCACCTCATGATCTCCCAATTTTTCCTCACTATGAAAATAATCCATGCATCTATCGCATATAAATTTTTTCACCATCATGTTTATCGAGTTGATTTGATAATAATCGAGATAAATCTTGGATTAGACAATAATGATATTTGATGTCAGAATCATTTTCATCAATCGGGAGGGCATCATAATCATTGATTCTTGGAAAGTACTCATTTTGTATTAGCAATAAATTGAGATGTTTATCTAGTTTATTTTTTGTAAGTTTGGCTGGTGCAACAGTATAGAATGATAGTTGCTTCACTATATTCAACTCTAATATGTATACGTTCACAGAAATTTCATTGGTTTTTTCAAATTTTGGAATTTGGCTAAAAGCCATAGGTGCATCTAGATCTTCTGTTTTTAGAACTGTCGTGTAAAATGGATATAAAGAAGTGAGCTCTCTATTCGTTTTTGCTGGATACAATGCGCTTATGATTGACCAATAGAAACATGCTGAGTCTGTATTCTTTATATTAAGGCATGCTCTCTCTTTGGAAATGTCTTCTGGTAGTTTAATAAAGGAGGAGCCATTTCCCATTTCAAATTTATTAATATTTATTTCCATCGATACTATTTTACGCAAAGCCCATCCAGAGTCACGTTCTTGAAATTCACTTAGTAAATTGAAAATTTTGTCACGAACATCATCACTAAACCATCGCTGTAAATCCGTCGATACGTCCACAATTTCATTCTTAGTATTGAAGTATTTCAAATCTGTAATTTCTTCTTCTTTGTTTGATTTTTTGACAAATTCTCCACAAAAACTAGCGTCAACTTAAATCATTGAAAATTCCTTCAATATCTTTTTGATTTCAATTTTGAATAGGATGAATGCATCTACGAAAAATTGTTCCAAGTCCTTGTGCACCAAATTTATAATGATTCCTGTTCTGATTCTACTCGAAAAACCTGATGTTACATTTCTCCACTGCACTCTATTTTTCAATTTAGGTTCCCAACCTCCGACCTCTAAACCACGATATCTATTTTGGACTATATTCCCAAAAAGGTTTGAAATGGCCCATATTCGTTTGAAGCTTTCTCAATACCCCTATGGACGAATCATTCTTGCGAATTTCCTTGTTACATGATACATACGTCCTCAAACGATTCAACCAAATTTGTTCATCTCTACTAGTGAAGTTGTCAAACAAAATTTTTCTCAATTTCCTAATAATCCTCACCGAATCATCAGATTTTTTTGCGATGTCCATCTCTGAGAATATCTCACCAAAGAAAAACAAAAAAAATGAAATAACAACTCACTTTTTTTAGTTCTCTACAATTTCGAACGACGCTTCTGGATTTTTCTTTCCAGTTTGAACCTCCCCTCGGAACATCAGAGAGTATTTTCCACTCAAAAACACTTCTATGTACGGTGACCCTATTTGGTAGAAATATGACGGTCTCCTCCAACTCCAACAAAACTGCCTTCCCAAATTTGGAATGAACAACTTTGGCTGACTCGATTGGTTGGGGTTGTCCTATCGGCAGTTCGGTGGGCTTCTTGATGGGCTTTCTTTCCTCAATCAGTGAAGCTTCATTCAATTTTGTGAGATCCATCTGGTGAAAAGAAGAAGAAGGAAAAAAACATCAACATTCTAATAAAATAAAATGCAAAGAGAAGTAATTCTGGATTGAGCCTTGAACACTTGAATGAATTAATCCTAAAAACTCAAAATGAAATGAAAACTGCGGATAATAGAGGATCGAGCATAAAAAATTACCACTCGGATGATTTATTTACGATAAAACTCAAAATAGAATGAAAAAAAGGGCTAATTTCGGAATAATCGGTGACACTTGGCTAAATTATTTTACAAAACTTTGAATATGATAGAGAAGGTCTATAATATATGGGAATAGAAATGAACACTTGAATAAAAAGAGGTACTTACTGTTATTGATTGTAGTATTTGCACACAAGAACAAAAAAAAAACGATAATTATTGGTGGTGATGATATTGGTAGGAGCCCAGGCTGAGTTGGTTCGCGTCTTCTGGCTTTCACAACTGGAGACTGAATGGTTATGCTGCAAGTCTCCCGCTTTATATTCTGAACAAGTGGGTAGAGATAGAGCATGTGACTTGTTTATCATTGAAAAATATGAACGCATAAACTGATAACCGTTAGTGATATAAAATGTTATATTTTCACGCCCTCTAGAATGAATAAAGTTGTTGATAATAATATCTAACCTCATTTGCAGGAATTTTCCGAGCTTATCTGAACTATTGGAAAACGCATTCAACCACATTTGCATGAAGTATTCAGGGTTATCTGAATTGTTGGAATAAACACAGTCAACCGCATTTGCATGAAGTATTCAACGTTACCTGAATTGTTGAAAAAACAAATGACCGCATTTACAGCAAGCTTCCAACCTAATCAGTAATGTTTATTCCTCATTTTGATCAGAAATACGCAAAACAGATTATAAATGTTCGTTATTTATTTCTCTCTCAAGAATTGTATAATATTAATCGAGATTATTGCAACTAGAAATGCTAAATTGGTATATGATGAAATGTGTAATGTAACAAAGGATTTTTCTTGATCAACTAGGGCCGTTGGTGTTGAAGGTGGTGGTGGGGGCAATGTTGTTCCTGGATCTTCAAAAAACTGCCATTCCTCTTAATCTCCAAAGGTTCTATCGTCGAAAATCGATCGAATTTTATATTTCGTCTCGTTTTTCGGCACTTCTATTGAAAACACTTCCATCTGACCATCATTGATAAATCCTCTTCTCATAACCATCCACTGGCATGGTTCTTCATTGTCACAAATCCCAGCTTCCCTTACCTTATTTGGTACATTCACATACAACATATCATTCAGGATTGCTGTGAGTATTACGAAATTCTTGCGCAGAATAGTCATTATTCTGATGTGAGGGGGATGGAGATGTGTGTGCAATGCGTCGTAATGGGTATCTTGTTTGAGGTATATTACGTTTTTTTGTTAGAACTGTATCCCAAACACTCAAATTTACCAAATATCTCACAACCTCTCCTTTTTCTTCGTGAAATTCAATATCTTTGGCCAGTTCTCGCACCAATCTGCAAAATTCTTCTAGTCTGCGTCTGTACTCTTCAGAAGACATATTGGTACTGATCTTTCATGAGTATTACATCTTCCATATCTCAACCGAAAATGACAAACGTCATCTGCCAAACGTCAAATATCAGCTATCATAAGGTAGACCAAATTTTTTGGTTGACCTTACATAACAAAAAGGATTCACCCCCACATAATATAATATGAACAAGCTAACATCATTTGGAATGCCTCTATAAAAAAAAATTCCCCC